TCTCTCTCTCTCTCTCTCTCTCTCTCTCTCTCTCTCTCTCTCTCTCTCTCTCTCTCTCTCTCTCTCTCTCTCTCTCTCTCTCTCTTTCGTTCTCTCTCTCTCTCTGTCTCTTTCGTTCTGTCTCTCTCTCTCTCTCTCTCTCTCTCTCTCTCTCTCTCTCTCTCTCTCTCTCTCTCTCTCTTTGTGCTCTGGCGAAGTTCGCTAGAGTGACCGACGGTCCCTGTGGAGATCTCCTCGCGAAGGCGTACCCCGGTACGAACAAGTACAGGTAAGAAGTGGAAGTTCGTGCACGCCCGAAGGGAGGAAATCAGAGCCGAAATACGGACTGGATCAGAGAACAAAATCAAGAAGAATTCACTCAAATTTTGTCAATTTTGTTCTTGGAACAGGTACCGGGGACCGAATGTCTGAGTGTATTGTAGTTTTACTTTTATTTCATTTTATTTTCTCCCCTACACGGTATCAGGGGTCGGATCCATTCATATGCTAACGGGCCCACAGGGCAGACGATTTTTTGTTTTTTAGTAAGGTTTTTGTGAATGATCTCCCTTTTCCGGTTTCACACTTCGGATTCATGCATGTAAACTTTAGCGGGCCCACAAGTATGACTTCGGATTTTTCAAATTTAGTTGGTTTTGCTTCTTCTCACAGTGAGTGACAGTATGCGGGAAAGGGTCGAGACGAGTTTAGTAAAAAAAAAAAGTTTCAGTTATAAAATTTCCCAAGTACTGAGTTTATGTCGGGTGTTGATATGAGAAGAAGGATCATTACTTCTATAGTTAGAGATGTCAGTAAGGTCGTTTGGAGGATAGGATATCGAATAGATGATACGTGGGAAATTAGACGAGAAGTAGCATTAGGGAACTAGAATAGGGAGGAGGTTAGACGGTGTGGTACGAGCGGATGAGCCTCGGATACGAGAGTATTTAAAGAAGGAACAGACCAGAGTAACGACAGGGAAGCATGATGTATGGGATCAGTAGCCCCCTGAGGAGCTGCCATCACGCGAGCGACGAAACGCGTCGGGGCAATGCGTGTATGTGAATCTGGTAATGGATGGAGTGGAGCTTATATGAATTTTGGACAATGGTTTGCTGCAAGCTGTGAACACGTGTACCTGGCGATTATCTTGTTTGCTCATCTTCGTATCTCGATGAGCGTGGTAACCGAGATGTCTAGACATTTACACTGTGGTTACGTGTGGTGCTTCTAAGCACCCGTTCGAATAAGTACGAGTTCGTGGACTTTCGCCGATGCGATCGCGATCGAGTTAACACGGGCACAAACGGCCGTACTAGTGGTCTGCGGTGAATCTTCAACACAGTCGGGATCGTCTGGAGGTATCCATTAGCAGAGGCAAGGCGAAATTTGCACGAATGTACCATAGCGGGATTACGTACATTCCAGGAAAGCGAGTACACTTTGCGCTATTGGATGAGGAGTGATCAGACCGGATGAGTGGTTCGCCAAGTTACGGAGCGACCTCCTTCCAACTAAGATCTGGTTGTTCTTCGGCACAAACGTGATCGTTTCGACGCCAGGAGTTGGACACGAAGTACGGAAGTGTTCATGAGAGGATCGTCGAAGCAAGACCAGACATGAAGTGTTGGAATCGATTTTGGGTAAAGATCTCGGCCTGGGCAGGGACGCTGTTAACGGCTGTGTTATGCGCGTGTACATTGTTCAAAATTAGGAGGGAGAGAAGATGCTATGGGATAACACATATCAACATTTATCTTGAATTACTACGACCTTCTTATTTTATGTTATACTCAAGAAGATGTACATCATTTATAATTTCCATTTGCTTATTCTTGAYAGTAATGGCTATTTACTTAGCAACTTRGGTAGTACCATCTGATTTTCAACAAGGTGAAAATTATCGTATCATCTATGTACATGTGCCTGCAGCTTGGATGAGTTTACTTATTTATATTGGAATGGCTATTATGGTGATCGTATCTTTAAGGTTTAGTTATTAGGGGATGTCAGGACGAGACTTCAGGGAGTTGGAACTTGAAAGACAGTGGTTAGAGCTGCAGAGACTGATTCCGTATCGGTTGACACCGTGTGTATTCGTAGCATTAGAGTTACATGATCCAGCATCAGTAGAGGAAGTGTATGCAGTATATGAGAATATTTTAGGGAGAGTATATAGTATAGGTTGTATCATTAGAGACAAGAGGAGAAGAAGAAGGAGAGATGGCGCATCCATAGCAGATTAGCGGAGTGCATCAACCGATGTACGGAGCCATAGCTCCAACCGCTAACCAACCAGGAACGGTGTTGTGCTACATATACGGTAAAGTTGGTCACTATGCTAGAAACTGTTGGAATGCAGGGAATGGGAGACCGAGCGCTCCGTTAGGACAGATCTCGGTACAAACCACGAACGACGAAGAAAGCATGGAAATGAAGGAGTACTTTAGAAGGAAGATGAGGAAGCAAGATGGAAGAAGAGAAGAAGGAGAAGGAGGCGGAGGAAAGGAGGAAGAGGGAAGAAGAGGCGAGGAAAGAGGCAGATAGGTTGAGGGAAGCAGAAGCAAGGAAGGCGAGACTAGAGGCAAGATTGATACGGCTTCTCACGGAACACACGAAGACTGGCCCCACGATTCCGGTGAAGAAGAAGTCACCTAATACGAAGGCAAGAATGTTGAAGGAAATTACGAGTTATTTAGAAGAATCCGAGGATGAGAGTGAGGAGGTGAAACAAGAGGCTGGGAGACTGATAGACGCCACAGAGAAAAGGAAGGGGAGAAAGAGGAAGGACAAGGAGACAGGCATATCAAAAGTGATGAAGAGGGGCACGAGACCGATGCCCATTCTGGTCGAGGACCCGGTAGGAGAGATAAACACACCACCGGCGAACCAAGGAGCATGGGAAATCTTGGATTACGCATTAGATCTGCACCGTCAGTTTTCAGCAAAAAAGGTCCCGGAGCTAAGGACATTGTGCAACTCAGAAGGGATCGAGTGGACAAAGAGAGAAACTGCTATTGGGGATCTGGTGAAATGCATGATGAGGTTGGCATACGAAGTACAAGGAGCACGTCTCTCACCATTAGCGGAGAAGTGACTGGAAAAGAATGGAGGATGTAAGAGGGCTATTGCGACTGATGAAAAAGAGGGGTAAGAAGTACCATCGAATGCGCCAACCTCTAGATGTCGAATGCGAAGATAAGATACTGAGGCTGTTTTTGCTCACGGTGATTCACGACTATTTTCCCTGGGCGAAGAAATGGACGGTGGGAACCTGACGACCACGGACTAAGGGGTGTACGTCCTAGTTAGTCCGTGGTGCCGACATACATACGTATGTCGGATGCACGACAAGACGAATCATCGTCAGATGGGGGGAACATGTGAAACGAGCTACGAAAGGGAATTTGGCGGGAGCACCTAAGCTACACGTATGGTTAAGGTCATTCCGATGGGAAAAATATTTAGTTATTCCAGTCGCA